ATGGCAATGCCATTTTCCCAGTTGCTCAGGCCAGAAAGTTCTGAAGTCATTTGACTTCTCTCTTTCCCTCCCAACCACACATCCAGAACATAAGCAAATTCCATCTGCCTTACCTTCCAATTGTATCTAGAATTCGTGCACTTCTAACCACTTTCCTACATTCCCACTCTAGTCCAAGCCTCTATCATTTCCTGCCTGGATTATTGAGAGAGCTTCCTAACTCGGAGGTTCCTAAACTTTCTAGGTTCACAGAACTCTTTGCATTTTATCTGTAGGCTAAAAGAAATACATAACAGTCCCATTTATTAAGCAGTTAGGTTCCAACAATTTAAGAAGTATGTATGCATTAGTAGGCTGGATAATGGCCATCCAAAGAGATCAGGTCCTAATCCCTGAAACCTTTAAATATTACTACCTTATTTAGGAAAAGGGTCTTTGCATATGTGATTAAATTAACGGTCTTGAGACGGGGAGGTTATCCTGGATTATCAGGATGAGTCCTAAATGCAATCACGCATCCTTATAAAATGGAGGCGGAAAGAGATTTGATGCAGACAGAAGAAAAGACAATGTGACCAGGGAGGCAAAGATTGGAGTGTTGTAGCCACTACCCAAGCAATGCCAGCAGCCACCAGAAGGTGGAAGAGGCAAGGAAGAAAAATCTCCCCCAAGAGCCTCCGCAGGGAGAGTAGCTCTGCTGACACCTTAATTTTTCCCCAGTGATACTGACTTCAGACTTCTGGACTCCAGAACTGCGAAAAAATTAATGTCTGCTTTTTAAGCATTACTTTTTAAGCAGACCAAACTGTGAGAAGCCACAGAAAAAATGCTGCAATAATATAACACATTGTGCAGTCATACAATGTTCTAACAACTAAGTAGACATTTGAAAAATAATACATATAAATTAAAAGAAAAAATATTTTTATTTCACTTTTAACCACAATCACTTGGAATGGAATGTGACTGTTGGGCACTGTCCAACATCTCAAACCTTGGAATTAAATTGGACACTGCCAGCTTCATTTCCTGCTCTACATTGATTTTCAAATAGCACTCGCTTTTTATTACAGCACCTGCCAAAAACCCAGCTTCACAAAGATAAGACAGCATTGAAAGGAATATAGCATGGCCTAATGTTGAAACTGTGAACTACCTACTAGCTAGAAGCTCACACTATCTAACAGTTATCAAGTATTGCTGTGAATCCTTAAAAATTTTTAAATATCCTGCCACACCTCAGTGAATTTTTTTGGTATCCTGGGGGTATCCCAGTGTACCTCATGAGCCCCAGTGTTAACTGGTTCCCTGTTCCCACCCTTTCTTTCTAAAATTTGTCAACCCAGCTACCCTAATGATCCTTTCAAAACATGTCAGATCCTGACCATCTTCTGCTCAAATCCTCCCATGGCTCCTCACTTTTCTGAGTCAAAGCCAACATCCTTATAATGGCCCTACCTACATCAGGGGTCAGCAAACAGTTTCTATAAAGAGCCAGACAGTAAATATGTTAGTCTTTGCAGACCAGATTGTCTCTGTCTCAGCTACACAACTCCGCAGTTGTAGCATGAAAGCAGTCACAAAAAATACATAATTGGACATGGCTATGTTCCTACAAAAGTTCATTTACAAAGAGAGGTGCACTGTAGTTTGCTCACTTGTGCCCTATGTGATCTACTGCTGTACTTCCTTTCGTTCACTCCACTCCAGTCATGCTGAGCCCTTGCCCTTCCTTAAATACACCAGCAGGCTCCTGGCTCAGGGCCTTTGCACTTGCTGTTCCCTGCCTGGAATTCCTCCCTACCTCCTTCAAGTCCCTATTAAAAATTTTCAATGAGGGTTTACCTCACCACACTATTTGAAATTGCAACTGCCTCCCTGCACTTTTCCTTTCCTTCAATCTTATCCCCTTTACCAAGACCCACTTTCCCATAGTACTTAGAATCTTCAAATACACCATGTAATTTACTTATTTATCTCAATAATTATTTATAATCCGTCCCTCCCTCACCCATCACTAGAATGTAAGATACTTGAGGGCACGGTTGTGTTTTTTTGTCTGCTTTGTTCACTGATATATGTGCCCAATGCCTTGAACAGTGTTTGGCACACATTAGGTACTCAATAAATATTAATTGATTGACTGGCTGAATTCTTTCAAAGAGTATAAATACAGTGGCATGCAATTCTTTATCTTACATTCAAAGCTATGGACATATGCCATAGGACATAGGACAAAGTGCCTGGACATATGCCAATATTTTTGCAGAGAAATATGTAAACCAAATATAAAATGATAAAATCCCTCAACCCAAAGTATCCAACCCAAATAGCCCTAAAGTTTCTTATCTCATTTAACTCTTGTTGAAATATACAACCTTGAGAATGGTGCTCTTATCTAAAACAAAAGGCTTTGAATCATTAGGAAATAAATTATAGAATTCACAGGTAACTAGCAGGTAACAAAGGAAGAAAATACATCTAAAATAAAATCGACCCCTTTTGTACACATTTAAGCATTAATTGTAACAATACACACACACTAAAAACCTTTCCAAGTATGCATAAGAACTCATTTTCCCAACTAGACATTTTCCTTAGCAACAGGAGATACGAGTCCTCAAACAAACTATAGGTGGAGCTCCAAACCTCAGATTCATCTTAATGTTACTGGTTTTACCGTAGTCGTCTTCTCAAGGAACAACTTCTCCATCACATAATTTCAACTCCAAGTGAAAAGGAATACAATTTGTGTTCATTCATAATACACATAAAAGAGCCCGGTGTACTTTCCATATTTCCCTTTTTATGAACAGCTCATACCAGATCTTTTTCTTCCCAAGTATTTACTTTTCAAATTCTATTTGTTATTTTATATTCCCAGTGGGTTCACAGAAAAAAATTGAACAATGTGAACAATTTGTCTTCAGTACACATTCCATTTCTGCTTTCAGAGCACCCCCATTTCCTAGCAATGTTCAAGATAGGCTGTTTTAGTGTCTTAATGCATGGAGCTCACCTAGCATGCCCTTGAGAAACTTACTCATCTTTTAAAGATTTTTTTTTTTCCTTTTGATGGCTCTAAGCCCTCATCCATGAAGGCCTTAAAACAACAGGAACTAAGTTTTTCTTTTTCATGATTGTGGACCCATCACCTGACATAGATCCATTAACACGATAGGTAGTCAACAAATATTTGCTCAATTAATGAAGGCATTTAGCTTTGGAGGCTTTCTGCTCCAAGCTCTAATTGCCTTGTAGTGAAGACTTGGTCCCAAGAACATAATGGCCACTGTTTTTCATTGTTCATCTCAGTTATCACCATAATTGGCTACCATTGCTTCTGCCTGGACTTCCACAATAACAGTATTTGTTCACTGATGTATCCCTAACACTTAGAATGGAAGCTGGCTCATAGTAGATGCCCAGCAAACATTTACTGAATGAGAGGCTGAATGAGTCAGATTTTGTCCTGTGTTGGCTCCTGCCAGGACCTCACCTGCATCGTGTGCCCTCCCTATGACCAGCACCACCAGTGCACCAATTTCTTTAAGTGGAATCCACTGTTTACATTCAGAAGGGAAAGAATTAGTAGAGAAATAGCGTTTTGGAGACACAGTAGAGTGTTTTTACAACTGTCTTCCCAGAGTTATCTGCAGGGGCTCCCGGAGAATACCAACATGTGTCTTTATGCTTGTAGAAACAAAAGAACCTGATAATGGCTTTCAGCCATAAGTCTGAAAAGCCAATGACCACACAGAATCACTTCAAGGAAATCCAAGAGAAATGTACACAACAGAATAGGAGAAATTGGAGATCTGATGCTGGCCTGGTGGAGGAGGTAACACCTGTGCAGGGATTTTAAGGTAGACCTTGAAGCATAGGTCATGTCATCACACTAACAAACATACAGGGAGGCTCCCAAAATTTGTGGGTAAAGTATCCCAGGAGAGCTACACTTTCAAATCAAGGCATTGTTTCAGAGTGATGATATACAAAGTCTCCTGAGACAGAATAACTAGTGGGTTTGCAAGACCTTTTTGGAAAAAGGCTGTTCATATATTCACACATCCACACACAGAATGTGCCACACTGTTTGTATCTGGTATAAACAACCGCCTTGTCCTGGTGTCCCTACTGCTTTGCACAGTGACCCTTAGAGATGCAACACGCATTTTCGATAGATTTTATTGGTGTTCTGAATTAAAAAGTTAGTCTTATGTTCTTTTCTAGGCAATAAAAGGACTGCCTAATACCTTAAGCCACCAATTTTGTGCAGAAAGTAGCACAAGCTGAAATTTTCAGTTTTCCTTTCCCCGACTTAGAAACCCCAGTTAATTTAGCCAAGTACTCGGAAGAGCAATCCCTCCTTGAACTCTGGATTTGTGTGAGGGGCTATCTGGCAGGTAACTCCTGCCCCAAATAAAAATAATTCTAAAGACAAGTCAGCCTGGTCATCGGTTCCTTTAACTACTTGGTTCCCTCTTCGTCCCTGTTGAGTTTCCTTTACCAAGATGGCCGCCGTCGGGCTCTCTCCTCATTGGTCGGTTTTCCGCAGGTGGAGGCTCTAGCCCTGCCCGCCAGCTCGCGGCCCCGGGCGCTCGGTTCCCGGGAATGGAATTGTCAGACCAGCAGGAGTGGGCGGGACGGGACGGGGCGGGGGTCGGATGTGACGTTTCCGGAAGCTCCGACTGCCATCCGCGGGGACAGGTGGGGAAGGGTCCCGGGAATATGGTGGGGCCGGGGTGCTGAGCGTGGTCGGACCGTGAAGGGGAGCGGCCGCCGTGAGTGTGGGGCCTGCAGCCTTCTCCTCCCCCACGCCCCTTGCCTGACCTGCTGCGCGCGAAGACCCTTAGGGCTCCGGTCCCCAGCCAGGCCCAGTGCTTCCCCGCCCACCGCCCTCGAACGACCCGAAAACGGATGATTTTGCCCCGGCTTGGCAATTTGGGCTTGAGTGCCTTCAAGAAGGGAGCCTCAAGCAGGTGTCAGGAGGTCCCTCCCCACCGTATACGCCCCTCTGCTCATTCCTCCTACTTCCTTTCGCCGCCTCCTCAGTGCTTTACGCCACCTTCCCCTCTCATTCGCGGATGCTACATCTCCTCTTTGGAGTGTTGCTCAGCCCTGTAATACCGAGTACCGAGCTGGCGTCAGGAAGGGGTCCCATTCTCGATCCAAAAGATCCTCTCCCTAGAGGTACTGAGATGCAACAAACATCCTCTCCTTCCGTTAGCTTTAATGGGCTCTGCGCTGAGTTTGCTAATTAGGCGACTAGTGGAGGTTTTAGATTTGCTAGAAGCTTTCTGAGTCTCTAAAAAGGCTTTGTGGGAGATGGAATACCTCTGCCTCCCTCGTAGTCCCTACAGCTTTTGTACTATTAGTGAGGGTGTTTTAGAGAGGAAGCTTGGTGGAGCAAGTGTGACCTAGAGATAGAACTGGCCGAGAGAACACTATCTCTGAGGGAGGGCTTGAGGTGGAAACGGAGAAACAGTGGATAGACAAATGAAACTGAACAGTGAGGATTTCTGGGCACATCAGAATCCTGACTGAAGCTAAAACTCTGTTGGAAAGGAGTAAGGTATAAAATTGAAAAGACAAAATAGGGCCACAGGGCCTCGAATTGCAAAATGAATTCTACCGTAGCTTGTATATTCTACAGTGTGCTGGGTAGAGTGCGCTGAAATTCAATATGTATCAAATTCCCAGATTCTTTTTGGAGATGATGTAGAGTAATATCTGATTGGAAGTTGGAATCCCATTCCAATCGCAACAATATCTAGAAAGATTGTAGAATTATTGCAGTTTGAGACCCAGGGTGGGAAAACCCCCAGGTTGTTTGTTGGTTTGTTTTTTGCATTCCAGGTTACCTTCATGCCCTTTTGTGATTCAAAGACTGCTTAGTCTTTGAAGATAGATTTGAGTAAATTGTTTTCAAGATCTAAATTCCTTGCCATGATATGAGGAATGATGTTGTAGATTGACTGGAACAGTGGTTTAGTGAGCGGAGTTAGGATTATGAGCGTTCATTCCCAGACCAGTTCCCCTAACAAACCTTGTGCTCAAAGATGAAAAAGTACACCACCGAAAAAATGTCAGTTACTCTCAGATGAAATAAAAGTGATCAAACTTGAAGTCGGTTAACAATCATAATGAAAATTCATTGAGTACATTCTGCCAGGTACTAGGTGGATGGAAGTGGGTAGCCAGGAGGAGACATAATGCAAAAAATGGAAGACACTGTCCTTGCTGTTATGATGCTGAGGGCAAGGCCACCTAATGACAGGGAATGATTAGCATGAAGACTGGAAATGAACCCCCTGTGGCCCAACATGGTTATACCACCTAATTATGGCATAGGGACTGTGTGGTTTTGAGTCTGCCAATCATGATATGGGCTTCCTTGAGGGTCTCAGCCTTCTTGTGGGAAGGAGACCTTATTTGATATGAACCACAGCGTATGGTATTTTTCTCTTAATTTATTAGTAAAGTAAAGGTTCATGGGATAAACATACTGTATGCTAGGCTGTCCTGGGATGATGGGGGCCATGGTGTTGATACTATCTGTTTTCTCCATTCTGTCTCAGAACTTCTTGGCCCTGATGTCTGACCATGGAGACGTAAGCCTCCCACCCGAAGACCGGGTGAGGGCTCTCTCCCAGATTGGTAGCGCAGTGGAGATAAATGAAGACATTCCACCCCGTCGATACTTCCGCTCTGGAGTCGAGATTATCCGAATGGCATCCATTTACTCAGAGGAAGGCAACATTGAACATGCCTTCATCCTCTATAACAAATATATCACGTAAGACACCTCCAGTTTCCTTTTTCTTTTCCGATGACTGATGCCTTACTTATCCTACTCTTGTGCTCATTTATTCTGCTCAGAATTGCTAAAACTACAGAACTTTACAGCATCATTAGCATTAATCATTTTTGCTGGCATCTCCTACGTATTGGCTGTCCTTGACATTCAAAGACATGAATACTGAAAGTATTATTTTCATGACTCAGTAATTTCATGAGTAAGAGACCTAGCTCTTTGGCCTGTGCCCACATGGCCCAGCTGGTAGGTGAAAGAGTTGGTGGTTAAAGTACACATGTTTTGTATTGATGAATGTTTTTCCTGTCCTTTCTCTATTAAGGCATCCAGTCATAGGATTATTGTTGAGGTTCAGCAGAGGGAAAATTCCTCACCTCTACTTATTTTGTAGCAAATTAAGTGATTCAGAAAAAGTTTTTTCTTCTTAGCCTTTATCACAATCATGCAAATCATCAGATAAGTATTACCACCTACAGTTTGTGTGGCTCATCATAAGAACTTTCACCTTGAATTGCTTAGCATTTTAGGGTAGGCAGCATAAATAGATTTCAGTACAGTCAACAGGGAACAATGCCTATAACCCCAGTGACAATGCAGTGATGTGTAATTTAGGAAGGGAATGATGTTAAGGGGTTTTATTAGTAATTTCTAGGCTTGTTCTTTCATCATACTGGGACTTTTTAAAAACTAATCATAATTACGATGTATTTTTTGGCTCTTAATAGTTCATAGAGTGTTTCACCTGCATTATTTTGTTTGATCTTCGCAGTTCTGTGTGCATTGAGTTGGGTGTGTCATCCTCCTATTCTCCACATGAGGAAACCAGCTCAAGGTTTAGTGATATGCTTTGTTCCACAGTTTGGAGTGACAAAACCCAGATTTTCTAACTCTTAACTCAGGATTCGTTCTACAACATAGGTCCTACCTATTCTTTTTGTTTTCCTTTTGGTAATGTTCTATGAGTTGAAGGCAGTCTTGAGATAATAGTCTTGAGGCCCACTAACTATTTTTTGGTTATTTTTTATTATTGTTTTTTGAATGGGTAACACATACATATGGTACAGAATTCAGAAGGCACAAGAGGGTATAAATATTTGAAAACTAAGTCTCCCTACCACTCCTCTTTTCCCCTAAACTTTCATTCCCCTCCCCAGAGACATTCACTTTTATTAGTTTCTTATCTGTCCTCCCAGAGATGATATATGTATACCAATTATATCACATTTTTTGATCACATACTGCTCTAAAGCAGCGTTTCTCAACGTTGGCATCATTGACATTTTGGGCTGAATGATTCTTTGTTGTGGGGACTGTCCTGTGCATTGTAGGGTATTTAGCAGCATCCCTGGTCTCTTCCCACTAGATGCCGGTAACATCTCCTCCCCCCACAAGTTGTAACAACCAAAAATGTCTCCAGACTTTACCTAATAGTCTCTGAGAGGCAAAATTGCCCCAGTGGAGAACCAGTGCTCTAAAGAACAATAGGTGATAAGAGTGGACTACTTAGGATTCACATTATAATATTAGAGTGGAGAAAAGGAACTACTGTTGTCTTTTTTTTTCTTCCAAGTTTAGAAGTAGTGCCATTTCCTCAAAGATCTTGCAGTCCATCCATGTCATCATGCTCTGACATGTGGCCTCAATGTTGATAAAATGTCATAGAATTATAATTACATTCCTGCCTCTCTTTGCTGTTGTGAGGTTTTCATTCCTAGACACAATGGGCACAAAATTTATTTTCCCGAGAAGTTTCTTTGGCTACTGTCCCTCTCTTCATATACTCTGTTGCTGGTAGAAATAGTATCCTTGTATATTTCCAATAATCTTATAGATAGTTCTCCTGGAATGAGACCCAGGAGCACCATTCTTTTCGAGAATCATAGTTTAGAAAGTTCAGTAGATTCATGGAATCACTCTACCAAGTATTTTCTGAAGGGCTTTCTGGATCCTGTTGCCCCACATAGAAAGTGCTTTGAAGGCAAACATCATATTCATTCAACAAATATATATTCTGTGTACCTACTGTCTACTTGGCACTGCGTTAGGTCCTGGACCTAATTAAAATTGCCCCTGCCCTTATTGGAGTACCTTTCTAGTTACAGGAAAAGAAAATAAACAGCTAAGCAAATAAATATATAGTCACAAAATAAGGTAAATGCTATGAAAGCAACAGAGAGAGTGCTGTAACAGAATAATCAAGGGTATCTAATTAACTAGGGTAGTCAGAGTAAGGTCTGTCTGAGAAGGTAAGATTTAAACTGAGACTTGAAGGATGCCAAAGAGTTACTTATTCCAAAGCATGGGGCAGAACATTTAAAACAGACGTAACTGTGTGTTCAGAAGCTCTTAGGTAGGAAAGACCTTAGTGTGTTCTGAAGACTGAAAGAAGATCGTTGTGTTTGGAATGTAGCAAGTAAAGGGAGAGAATGACTCCAGATGCAGTTGGAGAGGCAGGCAGGGCCAAATCATGCAGGATCTTATAGGCCATGTTAAGGAGTTTGCATTTTATCTTGAGAGCAATAGAAAGCCATTGAAGCGTTTTAAGTGGGATTGTGACCCAATATTACTTATGTTTTAAAAATATAAGTTTTGGCTGCTGTGTGGTGAATGGTGGAAGGAGTGTTAAGAGAAGGCAGGGAGATTAGTTAGGATACTTATAGCTGTTTAGGATGGAGGCTGCTGGCTTTAAGGAGTATAATGGCCTGGAAAGAAGCAGATGGATTTGGCATTCTAGAGGCAGAGTCTGCAGGACTTACTGATAGTCTGGGAAAGAAGACAGTATTAAGGTTGACCTCGGCTTTCTGCCTTGAGCAACTTAGGATGTTGTACTCCATTTACTGAGATGGGGAGAATGGTGTCGAAAAGGGACTGGGTAGGGGTCAGGGGTTCAGGTCTGGCTTGTTTGACATGTTAGGATGTTAACTTGAGAGGCCTGTGAGATATACAAGTAGACGTGTGCAGCAGGAGGCTGGATGTACCAGTCTGAACTCAGAGGAGAGGTCTGGGTTGGAAATACAAATGCAGAAGTCCTCAGCATACAATGGTTCTGAAGCCGTGAGAACCGCTGAGACCTTCCAGCACAGAGGTTCTTAATCCAGGGTCCAGGAACCCACAGGGATCCATTGATAGAATTCGTGGTCCATGAACTTGGTTGGGAAAACTTTTCTTGTTTTTACCAACCTCTAACTGAAATTTAGCATTTCCTTCAATTTTGAATGTAGACCTCAAACCACGCTAGTATTAATAATAGTTGTAATTTTGTCACCAGTAGAAATCAGGGTATTTTCGTATCATACCACAATTGTTGCTGATATCTCAAAATAACATTTACACTTATCACTATGCACAATTTCAGTATAGTTATTAAACCCATGACTAGATCCTTTTTTAAAATGTATTAGCAATGCATTAATAAAGAAGCACATATCATAATTTTTTATATTTTGAAAACTATATTTCAGTAGAATTGGTTTCTTTTGTAATCCTTTTTGTTTTGTGTTATATCTTAAAAAATTATTCTGAGGAGGAGACTGTAGGCTACCTCAGATGCCAGGAGGATCCATGGCACATAAAAGGATCAAGAATCCTTGATAATGAGATTGCAGGATGAGAAAGGAAGGAGCCTGGCACTGAGTCCTGAGGTTGGTTAGTGCAGGGAGGGCCAGCAGAGGAGACTTTGAAGGAAGGTTCCAGAGGCAGGAGGAAATCCAGGAGAAAGTGATGCCATGGGAACCAAAAGAGGACAGTGTTTGCAGGAGAGTGGTCAGCTGGGTCAGCTGTGTGAGGATTTGGGTTTGGTTACATGGTGTCATTGGTGATTTTGATAAGCAATTTTACTAGAGGGATTAAAGAGACACTAGAATGGGTTGAAAGATGAATAGACAATAAGAAAGTGGACAGTGAATAGACTATCACCAAACTTTTTCTGGAATGGGCCACATAGTAGATATTTTTAGCTTTGCAGGCCATTTGAGTCTGTTACAACCTCTGCTTTGTAATGTGAAAGCAGCCATAGACAATACATGAAGGAATGGGTGTGGCTGTGTTTCAATGAAACTTTATTTAGAACAACACATAGTGAGCCAGATTTGACCCACTAGCTGTAGTTTGCCAAGACCTGGCATAGACAACTCTTTGTAGAAGTTTGGGTAGGAAGGAAAATGGAAAAATGAGGAAGCAATTGAAGGAGGACAAGGAGTGTGACAATGTGTGGTGTGTATTTCAAGATGGGAGATTCTAAAGCGTATTTTCTGCTCCTATAAAGGATCCTGTGGAGGAGAGGCTGATGGTATAGAGGGTTTAACTGTAGCAATAAACTCTTCAATAGGCAAAGGGGGTAGGATTAAGAGTACACAGATATTTAAGAAATGGATTTTTTTCTGTGAGTTGGTGTCTCTTTGAGTGACATGATTATCAGTGTTAACAGTGAGACTGATATGGGGAGTCTGTTCCTGTATATGGTTACACTTTTACGACCCTTTAATATGATAAACTAGGTGTGGAGGAGAGCTGAGTTTGAGGGGGGTGGGATGTAGCAGCTCATTTACTTAATTTGTTAGATTTAGGGTTTAATTTAGGACTTGGATTGGCTTTGCCTGAAGCAATGAATGTAGCTACCTTCATTTTTTCTGCAGATTTCTTCTAGACCCTAATTCTGATTCTATGAACTGACAAGCCCTGGGAGTTGCAAAAAAGTTCTCGGTCTGTTTTTCTAGCGCATTTTACTTGGTATCTTCTTGTTGGTAACAGTGGCTCCCTTTGGCAATTAGTACAACCAGGCCGAGAGGAGGGCGGAGGCAGGCACCTAGCTCACGACTCCTCTGCCTCCTCCACTACTAAGAGATTTTCTAGACCTTTTGTGGATACTTTAATTCAGGATTTTAAAAGGGCTGTTCCTTCTTTTCCCTGGAGCAGTGCAGGCATCTTAATGATCTCAAGCACATTTCCCCCTCGCTGGCTTTGCCTACTGCAGGAACGCTTTGCCTTTTGCAGACCCCAGTATAGAAGAAGGATCTTCAGCACATTAAATCAGTGCATATTTTCATGATGACCACAGACAATAATCCAGGCAGTGGATTCTTTCACAGCTTTTTATGGTCATTGACTGGGCTGCATAGAAGGGAGTTACAGAGGACTTAGGCAATTCCTGTCTGCTGGGTGAGCCTCCTGTAACACAAACCCACTTTCTGAACGTGGTCTGTCACCTGCATTGAAAATATTTACCACTGGGATTGGGGCTTATGCCGGAAGAGGGTTTTCATCTGTGATCATGCTTACTTTGCTGATTAACTTTTAAGATTGGAAGAGATGATATGAGAATCCTTGCTATATCCGTGTTAGAGAATTTCTGCTTGATTTTTTGGATTAGACATTTTTATACACAAAATTAATATTGGCTCATGATTAAAATAATTTTTCAAATCGTACAGCAATGGAGATATTAAAGTGAAGAGAAAAGTCCCAACCACCAGAGGTAACTACTGTTGTGTTTCCTGTGTGAACAAGAAAATGTTTATGCCCATGTAAGCACACAGGCTCACGTTTATCCTTTTTTCTTAAAGCATGAATGACATCATACAATATATCCTGTTCTACAACTCGCTTTCTTAACAGTCTGTCCATATCAGGACATACTGATCCATCTCATTCTGCCTTGGTGTCATTTTTTCTGTTTGGAATCATCTTATCCCAGATCTCTTCATAGCTTACTCTCTTCAGGTCCTTTCTCAAATGCCACCTTCTCAATGATGGCTTCCTTAGCTGCCCTATTTAAAATTTCAGCCCTTCCCCTGTCACTTCCTATTCCCCTTCCCTATTAATGACTTTTCCCTAGCACTGATAATCCACATACTTTTTGTTTTGTTCATTGTCTGTTTCCCTACTGTAAAGTACACTCCATGGTAAGGAGGAATTTGTGACTGTGTCGTTCACTGCCAAATCCCCAGCCTCTACAATAATGCTTGACCCCATAGTAGATGCTCAATAAATATTTGTTGACTGAATGAATGATTATGTTGTTTTTCACATTTGGGTACACTGTAATTTATTAAATGATCCCCTAATGATGGACATTTCAGTTTTCAGTTTTCCCTACTTATACGAACAATGCTGTATATGTATAGCATTATAGTCTTGTACATGTATCTTTGTACTATTGTGTAGGATAAATTCGTAGAGGTGGAATTGTGAGTTTAAAGGATATACTCATTTTAAATTTTCCATAGTTGTCTCCCACCCCACTCCCTCCCCTAAGAAAAAAGTTCTTATCAAGTGACAGTCAGTCCTGCTAAGAGTGTGTAAGAACACACATTTCCCTACACCCTTGCCTGTACTGCTGATAATCTACTTTTAAACCTTTGCCAGTCTGGTAGATGAAAATGGTATCTCCTCTTAATTTGAATTTCTTTCATTATATGTAAATTTGAGTACCATTTCATGTACTTATTCACCTTTCGTATTTACTTTTCTGCATATCTCTTTTTTTCTACTGTTATATTCGGTTGTTTTGCTTGTGTTTTTGCCAATGCATCATTTCCTCTCTCTAGGCTGCAACTGGATCTAACCCCAGAGAACAGTGTCCATCTGGGCCACAACTAGTCTCTGGCTAGAATGTTTCTGCCGCATGTGAACATCTTCATCTCTTACTCTTGCTCCCATTTTTTGGTTGTTTGTTTATTAGTAAAAACAATCATATAAGCACGTAGCAGATGTTGGCTCTGTGCTAGGCACCGTGCTTAGCACTTTGGGGTTTTTAAAATTTCTTTAAGCATCATAGCAGTCCTACCAGGTAGTACTAGTTTGTCTCCATGTATATATAATTGATATATATAAAGAAACTGAGGGATGGTGAGGTTAAGTAATTTGCCCGAGGTCACACAGCTGGTAAATGGCACAGCCAGGATTGGAGCCCAGGCAGGGTGGCTGCCGAGCCTTCCCTCCTACCACTGAGCTCTGCTGCCTCCGGTATGGGGCAGAGGTTATGTGACCCATCCTCTCTGCCCTTCTGCCCGTATGTCCCCATTCAGGAAATGGGCTACAGTTGCTAAAACAAGGGAAAGGTTTCTTGTACTGGTCTGAAAGTTTTTATCTTTACGTATAAACTAGATCCCATTGCGTGGTTTAAAGTCGAAATAATTTAGAAAGATTTATGGTGAAAAGTTTCACTCTCACTCTTATCTCATCCACCCTATTTCCCCTGCCCTCTACTTTTATTACTTTCTGTATATGCTTCCTATGTTCCTTTAGATACTTGTAGGCAAATAAATAGATACGTACACACATATATATAATTTTTCGCCTTTCTTATACCTAAGTTAGTGTACTGTATATACTTTTTTACACTTTGGTTTTCTCCCTCAGCTCATCCAGAGGCCTTAAGACCATTTATGCATCAGATGTGTATTGAGTGCCTCTTTCCACAGGGCACTGTGCTGGCTGTAGAGGAGTACAGAGAAGCAGGAGACACAGAAGTCTCTGGCCTCAGGGACTTTACACTCTATTCCTTCAGGTTGGGAGCTAAGTGAACGTAAGGTGTGGGGTTTCTATGACCTGGTACTTTCCTACCTGATTTGAGCTTCGAGGCAAAGCACGTTCAGCCTGCGGAAGGTAGTGAACATGTACCTTGGTCTGTAGGGCGAACACGAGAGAGTTGCTGAATTGTAAGTCTCTTGAATACAAGAACTATCTCCTATTTATCTTAATATCCTCTTCAGGACTTTATGGTTGAACAAGTGAATCTGTACTTGTTTTAAATATAAACTTCAAGGAAACTGTTTATATCTTTTTCTTGAACCCAAAGGGAAGATTTTTAGAATCATTTTGATTTTAGAATTCATTCCTGCCTGAGGGGACTCTTCAAATTGGATTGAAGTGAGTTTTCATGTGCCTAGTATTGTACTGAAGGAGGAGGGCTCATCTAGAGAGGGTCTGTGTGGGTAGGGGTCTTCTTCTTTTCCCTTACTGGGGCAAAAAGTGGAAAAGAGCCAGTCAATCCCAGCTACAGTAGTCTTTCAGGACTGTGGGCAAGCTACCCTCAATTTATTTGTTTTGGATCTCAACTTGTATTTATTGCAACTTAATTCTATGAACAGATTCCTTTTTCAGAACCCCTCCAAAGGTTCTGGACATTGCAGGAGCCATATGGAGGCAGTATGGTATAGTGGTTAAAAGAGTAGACGCTGGAACCGGCCTGCTGCCCTTGGGATTCTGAATCCACCACGCTGGGCTGTGACAAGTTACTGAACTTCTATTTGTTTTCACTGTACCCAAGTAGATATCATAAATGTTACAGGTCTGTGAATTGATTCACGTTATTTTTCCCACTGAGCTTTATAGCCAAGGACAAGAATTGAGAGAGAAAATCTAGCATCTTATGTTTCTCTAAGCACTTTTCATCAAAGATCATAGTGCATATTACACATATAACATGCACATATCACACACATGTAGTGCATTTACTATCTAAGCATCTTGGTGCTTAATATGATGTAAGGAATATTCTTCATATGAGGGAACATGAATCCCAAAGAAAAAAACCCTAAGTTAAAGGTCACCCAGGGCCAGGAGTAGTAATAGAACATGGGTTTTCTCTTAGCCTCCTTCCCTTGCCTGCCAAACTGTCCTCTGGAGAATGTTTTGTAACAGAGACCCCTTCCTTTGGAAGCCTGTCACTATTGCAGCAAGAAAAGAATCTCTTTGGAGGTATATTTTTGGGCACAGGATAGGCTTTGTTCCCATATTTTTGTTGTAGGAGTCTGCTGCTTGCTGCTGCACACTTGCTTTGGGAGGAGAGGGAAATGCTCTGTTCCTCTTTTACAGGGATGGGGATGGGTGCAGAGTACAGCCTGTCTGGGTGTGCCTGTTGCCCCTCCCCTGCGCATCTGGAAACCCGTCACTCAGTGGCTGCAGGATACAGTTCATTGCTTCAAAAGTCTTTCTGACATTTTCTTTGCATCATAATCGTTCTGGTCTGTTCCCTTAGGCTCTTCATTGAGAAACTACCAAAGCATCGAGATTACAAATCAGCTGTCATTCCTGAAAAGAGAGACACGGTAAAGGTGGGTCTTTACTTTCACCGTTGCCCATCTAAAAGCTTCAGAGTGGCACAGACTGCCTCCAAGGTAAAGCTAGTGGTGTCATCTGAGCATCAAATCCTGCAATAGGAGCTAAGGCCATTTCACCAGATCAGTTAGGAAGTAGCAGGGACGGGACAGTAGGGGGATTTTAAATTGTTTTTGGAAACATTTTTGCCATTTGCCAACTTGACTTAAGTCTTTTTACTTCTCTACTTAATTAGCTGGAAGTTAATTGTTCAGTTAATTGATCAGAGAATTGTTAATTCTCAGTTTTGTTGTTTTGTGTCTCAGAAATTAAAGGAGATTGCATTTCCCAAAGCAGAAGAGCTGAAGGCAGAGCTGTTAAAACGATATACCAAAGAATATACAGAATATAATGAAGAAAAGGTTAGTATATAACAGCAAAGAAAAAGAAAAGGAGATTGTTTTGGTTTCTTAGACTGTGCCCTGGCCTTGTAATATGATATTTCAGCAGATTCTGTGATTTTAATGTGATATTTTACTTTTTTTGGCAAAGGCCAGAAACTCAAAGAAGTAGAACATAAGTGTTTAGGCTGAGGATTGTACCAGAGATTTACTCTGCTTGTCCAAGAGGGTCACTTGAGGGATAGGAAATCCATTGCCTGTCTGCTGTATCCAGAGCAAGAACCTAAGAACATTGAAAATTCTCACTAAAACATAGGCTTTTATTTATTTATTTATTTTGAGGAAGATTAGCCCTGAGCTAACATCTGCTGCCAATCCTTCTCTTTTTGCTGAGGAAGACTGGCCCTGAGCTAACATCCGTGCCCATCTTCCTCTACTTTATATGTAGGACGCCTGCCACAGCATGACTTGACAAGTGGTGCCATGTCCGCACCCGGGATGTGAACTGGCGAACCCTGGGCCACTGAAGCAGAACATGCAAACTTAACTGCTGCACCACCAAGCTGGCGCCTAAAACATAGGTTTTTAGAGCAGAGAAGTTTGGGGGTTTGATTCACAGTGGATTCTGCCTGAAGCTGTTTATAATAATTGATTTTTTTCTCAAGCTATTTTCAAATGATTCTTGTTAGGAAGAGTCAGTTAAAGCACATGGAGGACCTCCCAAGGCACGTCCGTGGCCTGTGTCAGATGTGAATACACACTACAAGCACTTCCCCATTCGTTTGCAGCTGTCTGCTGAGCTCTATTCTGGACTCGTGTTGAAGATCAGCAGAGGGGTAGACAGCTATGAGGCATATATTTCTAAGGCACTGAGTGAGGGAAAACCTTAGTGAAGGAGGTTATTACTTGCTATTTCTTACAGTTTAAAACATCACTCTATATTGACCTGATCACCACAAAAAATTCAGAAGCTTCATTTTGGGTGACAATTTGATAGAGACCCCAAACATAGCAGGTATAAGTTTGGATTTGGTTCTATTTTACAGCTTTACTCAGGATACAGAATGTATACATGGCACAGAACATAAAACTGTACGTGATACAGATTATGAGGTGCAGATAATAAGTTGCACCGAGATTTTGGTAAAGAAGAAAATGCGTTGGTTAGAGTCACTGAGGAAGGGCACTGAGAGGACTGTGACTTCGTCCTTGAAGACTATGTATATCGTGGCGAGATTGAAAGGAGTGTGACTGCTCCATGGGTCTAGAGGTACTGAGAGAAGCATGAATGCTGTCCTTGGAAATCAGGCCAGAGCAGAAGGACATTTTGGGAAATCTCCCTGCTGAAAGGCCTGGTCCTCCTGCGGTGTGAAGTCGCCTGAGTATAAAGTGTTAGCCTCACTCCTATTCTTTCTTTGTAGAGGAAAGAAGCAGAAGAACTTGCCCGGAACGTGGCCATCCAGCAGGAGCTGGAGAAGGAAAGACAGAGGGTAGCGCAACAGAAGCAGCAACAGCTGGAGCAGGAACAGTTCCATGCCTTTGAGGAGATGATCCGGAACCAGGAGCTGGAAAAAGAGCGACTGAAAATTGTACAGGAGTTTGGGAAGGTGGACCCTGGCCCGGGCGGCCCACTGGTGCCTGGCTTGGAGAATCCCTCCCTAGATGTGTTCCCCACGGCCCCTGTTGCATCCACACAGCCTTTGGACTGTAATACAACTGTGAGGCCTGGCAGGCCACCCGTGGTGGACAGGTCCTTGAAACCTGGAGCGCTGAGCAACTCAGAAAGTAGTGAGTCCGTTTGTTCGTGTCCTCTTCCATCTCAGCTGCAGCCAAACAGAGTGTCACTCTGGAGGATCAGCCTAAGGTTACCTCATGTTCCCACTCATTAGGCCCTGGCCACAGAAGCCATTTGGTCAGTATTGCCATACTGTGTCCTGTCACACCGGCTATATTATGAAAGTGGCCTTCACTTCAGCCATATAATTCACCTGAGGCCAGGTTGATTTTCTGAAGAGCTAATAATATCCTTGCAAGTCAGACCCTCAGCTTTTAAGAGTTATACAGACATTTGAAATGTTGGATGAATTAGAGACCACTGTTGGCCTGTATGTAAAGGGAATTTGAAAATTATTGTGCCACTTTGCAATTCAACAACCAACTATTTAAATATAAAAAAAGGCTACTGAATTGTGCTTGCCCTGATAGCATTCCTAATCCTGGAGGAGCTTACTCAAGATAGATATTGTGTATAGTTGGTGATGATTCAGTCTGACCATGAAAACTACTCTTTCCTCCTCTCACCAACAATGGGCTATCTGAGAAAATAACAGTAGCTGCAAAAGGAATGTACCTTGATCATTAGAATAGATTTTTGGGGTAGGAATCAGCTTCGAAGTTGTCATTTAAGGAAGTCAGCTTTGCAGAAGGTCCACTTAAAGGAACAGGAATGGGCAAGGGGGCTGGACTCTGAAGCCGGGCCTTCAGGGTTTCTCCCCATTTACTCGGCACGCTTGTCTCTCCCTACTGTTTCTTCATACATATTCTGTGCTCTGGTCAGACTGGACTCTCGTGTTCCCAGAACAGTCCCTGGATTCTCTTACCCAAAGAGGTTTGTTAACGTTTGTCCTGAACCTAAAATCTCCATTCTCTGTTTCTGCCTTCCCTGCTTTTCTTGAATTTTTCGGTCAGATTGATTCTGTTCTCCTGAAAACTCCCAGAGCTCTTAATATCTGTAATGCAGCAGAGATCACTTACCTGACAGTGTAGCCATTTGTCAATAACTAAATTTTAACTTCTTGCAGATTAGGGCTTGAGTTTTATTCACATTTGTGTTCCCTGTGGGCTGAGCACAGTGTCTGCTTGGGGTGCACTTGGTAAGTGATTATTGAACTGGAAGGAAAGGGCTGTGTCAAACCTTAATTCAGAATCCTCAGACACCATCATCAGACTTCCGTGTGACCACATGGCTCCTGGCCTGATGTCGTTACCTCTCCAGGAATTCAGATCTTGCTGTTGAATATGCAGAAGCAGAACATCCTTTTTCAGTTTTTTTTGTTTTTAATGAAAACAGGACTGTGAAAGACACCCCCTAACTTCAGCCTACTGGCTCTCTCTCAGGGTTTCTCCATGGTGTTCAGGGACAGGGTCCCTTCGTGGCATTCTGAAGTAGGCTGACAAGCTGCTTTGTTCGTTCATGCCTGTTTTTGAGCACCAGAATATGTTTTTTGTTGTTTCGTTTTGGCATTTTAACTTTCTTCTAAATTAAAGTGTTCAGAAGTAAATAGTTACCCAAATTAGTTTCTGTTTCTAGAATATATCCTGGTGTATTTTGTTGAAAGTCATACTCTCTCATGTTCTTATCTGACATAAAAGAGGTTTAAAATAAAAATGAAAGTTCAGTTGAATGGGGGAGGTTATTGTTAAATCCTTTGTATTAGAGTGTGACAGAATCCCTGAATAGCTCAGAAACTTCTTTTAAGTAGTAGTTTACCCTTGTCTTAACTTGAATGATTAAAGCTGCCTGTCTTTTCTTAAAATAATGTACTCCCAATGGCCATGCCCAGAGATTGGAGAAGAGACTTTACAACCCTTTTTCTTCTTCCATTAGCATGAGATCCCCACTTTCTGCCTACAGTTGGGGAGACCGCAATGATTTGGCATTGCTCTCCCAGGGCTGCCACCTCGGAGATCTGCTTGGGGAGGCTCTGCCCCGTGGCCTCACGCTTTCCCTTTTTCTCCATTACAGCTCCTACAATTGATGGGCTGCGCCATGTGGTGGTGCCCGGGAGGCTCTGCCCACAGTTTCTGCAGTTAGCCAGTGCCAACACTGCCCGGGGAGTAGAGACATGTGGAATTCTCTGTGGAAAACTGGTAAAGAAAAAAACGCTTTCCTGAGCTGAGACCATTTCTTCCCCCTTGGCCTCCTGTGAATCTCAGAGAAGATATCCAGGGTCAGTTACTCTTTGTGCTGATCCCTCTGCCAAAGGAACTATGGATAGCACAGTGTCACTTTGAATTTGGTGACCCTGTATTTGATTGATTTTCAAAGTCCCTTAAATTAAACTGACTATTTTAATGCTAGTAGTAAGAAATACCTAATTCTACCTGAATACCAATTTTTGAGCACCTGCTTTATGGTGAGACCTAGGAATATGAAACAAGTAAGGCACATAGCATGTGTCCACAAAAAGTACCCAAGCACTTTGGAGTGGTGGGAGATATGCACCAAAAGATAAGTAGCAGGCTGAATGGTATGTACAATAAGAGCACAGGGAATCTTGAGGAAGGAAAGATCATTGAATGAGGCGCTTAAAGAACCCATTACTAACTGCTGAATGAATAAGTGACTAAAGTGGAATAGACTTAAGCTGAGCCTTAAAGGATGAGAAGGACTTAGGGAAACAGTAGAAGAGAAACTACTTTAGACATGAACAAAGCAAGAGAAGTGGTACTATACCCGGAGCTTCTCAAGAATCAGGAGTAGACCCGTTTGGCTGCAGCAAGAAATTCTCCCAGGGCTGTGGGCATCTGTGGCTTTGCAGAGTGCCCTAAACAATGTGCACAAGCAGCCAAGGTTGTGAACCACTGAGGTGAGGGAGTCAGGGAGCATGAAGAAGACTCGTGCCGGAGTGGGAAGCGCCTTCACTTGTATCGATGTCTAACTTTCCACTGCTGTGGTAGAGTGGGGTTACATAAGTGCCAGGGAATTGTGACGAGCTGTTTTCTCCTTTGACAGATGAGGAACGAGTTTACCATTACCCACGTTCTCATCCCTAAGCAAAGTGCCGGGTCTGATTATTGCAACACCGAGAACGAAGAAGAGCTTTTCCTCATACAGGATCAGCAGGGTCTCATCACACTGGGCTGGATTCACGTAAGCAATTCCGAGCTCTCTGAGGGTTAGTCTCTTCTTCTCTCATGGTGTTATGAACACACAGCTTGTTTCTTTCTTCGAGCAAAGTGAATTGTATCCAGACTATTTCTGTTGGATGCAGACTTGACTTCCATAGCAAACTTGACTGCTTGCACTCCAGTATTGATTTCTGGGAACTATGTAGGGCTAATTTTTTTAACTTTTAAAATTTTTTTCATAAAAATGAACCCTTTCCGTAAAGTCCCAATTGCCCTGTGAGTGTGAATGGTGATAGGATGCTTCCCTCATGTATATGGACATTGACTAGAGGCTATGCCTCCTTCATACAAATGATCTTCCTAAAAGGTATATAAATCAAAATATTTTAAATGAGCCAAGGAAGTTAATTCAGATGCTTACGTTTGATCTTTCTTAAAGCAGCATATACCTTTATGTAAACCAGAAGGGCCGCCGATATAGGTGATTTTCAAGTGTCTGCATATCTTATGCAGTCTTCTGGTAATGTTTAGGTAAAATATAATTCCATCCCTAAAGATTATTTCTTAATTTTTCTTTCTATTCCTTTTTAACCCCTCACTCTCACAGACCAAGCTGCTTTTCATGTTGTGTGACAGGGTTACATAGAAACAAGTTGGCTCATTTCTGGATTGGGGAAGGTTACACATACTTGGATGTTAGAATTTGGGAAATCCTGGCCCATGAGACAGTCCTGTGTGCCTCTGTCCTTTCTTCAGCTCAATAACACGAATATTTGCCTCTTAGTGTGTATGCCCCATTATGGTGTATGGGGGATAGAAAACTTGTTCCTTATCTGCCAGGGGGTACAGATTTGAGTAAGATACGATTTTAGTCTTATAAAGGAGATTAGACAAATAGACAAGTAATACCTCTTCCCATGAGGCAGAACGTACCATGTGCTTCAGGAGGCGCAAACAGAGCACTATGGGAATCAGAGAAGGGAAGGGTCACCCCCCTCCTCCCTGGTATTGATTTTACTAGAATGTCGACAAGAGGAGCCAAGGGAGAGTTCCGTGTGGAATGGACAGCATTGGAATCGGCAGGCTGTGTCCCCGGAGCATGGAGTGGTCTAGTTTGCTGGAGTTCATGGTTCACGTCAGGGACAGTAGTAGCTAAGCTTTAATGTGATACATTGGAGCAGTGCTCAAGGGGGTCCTGGGTGGACAAGCAGGATAATTCTGCTTTTTAGTAAGTGCAGAACTCCTAAAGTTTTTGAGTAGAGCAATGGTATGATCAAGGCCATACTTTAGAAAATTTAACATAAAAGCAGTTTTGAGGTAGGCTGAGGCAGGGAGATGACTTAAGAGGTTAGCGTGCTGAGAAAGTCTAATAATAGTGAGAGCTGGGGTGATGGCAGTCTGTTTGGGAAGGAGGACATGAATGTACAATTTCAGAGGATGTGGGGAATGAGTAAGAGAGGATGATGACTAAAAGTCAGTGATGACTTGGAGATTTGGGGCCTGACTCACAGGAGTGGCAAAGATCATCTCTTAAGCAGACACAGGGGCTCCAGGAGGAGAACTCACCTTGGAAATGGGGCAAAGGATGTGTTCAGTTCTGAGCATGTTGAATTTAAGGTACTGGGGAGACATTCAATCGGCGGGAGTGGTTCTCAGGCATTGGAAATGTGGCTGGAACTTGGGAGCAAGGTCAAGGCAGGAAAGAGATCTGGGAGTCCTCTGCATAGAACTGACCTTGGAAGCCTTGGAACTGGAGGGGAGTGGAGAGCCAGAGGAGATTCATTGGCAGCTTGGGGCCAGGCTACCTAGGGGAGCATGGGGAGTAGTCAGTAATGACGCAGAGCTCTAAGAGAAAGGTGACAGTAGTGGTAAGGGACAAAAGCCAAAGAAGGAGGAACGTTTTAAGAAGAAACTTCAGGATGTTAACCATATCACGTGCTGCAGAGAGCTCCAGAATGATGATGACTTGGATGAGCCTGTTGGATTTGGTGAGGTCATTGACGACCTCAATTTAGTGGGTTTTAGGCAGTGGTGGGAATAGATTATAAGGGTTTAAGAGGTAATGGGGACTGAGGTTGTGGTGATAATGAAATGGACACTAATTTTCTGAAGAGCTTAGCTCTAGAGGAAAGGAAAGAGATGGGATGATGGCTTAAGGAGTAGCTGGGTTGAGAGAAAGTTTGCTTGATTTGTGGTTCAGTGTGAAAGCCTTGAACATGTGTTTTGTTTTGATTGTGTTTTTTTGAAACCTTTATATTTGAAATACAACATGAAAAAGTACATAAACTAAATGTATGCTTCAGTGAGTCATTAAGCAGACATCTAAGTACATACAATACCTAGGCCAAGAAATAGAACATTGCCACAAGCACACCCCCACCCCCATGCTTCTGCCCAGTCACACTTCCTCCCCAAGACAGGTAATCCCTCTCCTGATGTTTCTGGAAATCCTTTGCTTTCTTTATGGTTTTACCATCTAAATGTGTATCCCTAAACTCGACAGCTCAGTGTTGCCTGGTTTGGAACTTCATATACATGAAATTATATAATGTGTATTCTTCTGTATCTGGCTTCTTTTACCCAACATTTTTAAGGTTTATGTACGTTCTTGCATGTAGTTGTCTGAACACGTTTTTATGCCCGGTGAGCCAGTGGAGCAGATATAAAAGGGCAGGAGAGACAAGGTAATGTGGAGATAGCAAGGTATTAAATCAAAAAACACCAAAAGGGGGTTCATCTTCATGTCGGGGAGAAGGCACTGATTCCTCTGAGACAGAGTTGAAGAGAGAGAGAAAGCCACAGAGAGACTTTGGAGGTTGTATTTGGAGGAACTGAGGGAATCATTTTAGGCGATCCTGATTTCAGCAAGGTTGGAGTCTGGAACTGGAAGAGATGGGGGAAAGTTAATAATTACCGTCTAGACTTCAGGTAGAAGTTAGCTGCAAATGAATAAAAGAATTTCTAACATCAGTGAGTGCCCAACCAGGAACAAATTAAGAGCCTAAAGTGATAGTATTCCAACTTTTTTTCTCATGATATTTCTGTACCACTCCTTCCTAACTTGGGATTAAAAACAAACAGAAAGTAGACCCTAAAGTTTGCTCAGATCTTAAAATTGGCAAGAGGAGAATGCAAAAGATCAATTCTTCCTTCTGTACCTCGCCAGCTGTAAGCAGGTTCTCTGGTCAAAAGCTTTGTGTGGTCATGTATCGCTCACCAACTATCGTGTAACCCCAACTCAGTATGCAGGGCCCTCCTTCACCTTGTCTCGGCCCTGCCTTAGGTCTCATTGCTCTCCCTTGGCTGCTCTGCCCCCATCCACGCACCCAGGCTGCCCTCGGCATTCGCTCTCCTTGCTCATTTCTGCTCCTTTGGTGCATTGTTTTCTCTTCATGAAAATGCCTTCCTCTCCCTAGCATGGTGGACACCGTGGCCATAACTGTTTTTTCAAGAAACTCAACGCTGAAGGGAAGGAGAGAGACAAGGCACAGTAGTTACGGGGGAGCAAAGGCTCAAGGCAAGGTTTCTTGATTCAGTTTAACAATCATTTCTTGAGCCCCTGTCTCTGCATTGTCTTTCTATCTAACCCAACTTTAGAGCAGAGGTCTAGATCGGCTTTTGTAGGCCTCGTTTGTTCCCAGTGAGAACTCCTGGCTCTGACCGTGGGGTGAAAGGTGTTGGCACAGGCCATTTGTCCCTAGCAGTCCTATTATCATCCTGTAGATCATATTATTATCAGGTAGAAACTGATTTTCCCTTGCTGTCACCAGAGTTCTTACCTGCCCATGAGGACTGGTGTGTGGATTTGCTGTCAGCACTCAGCTGACATGTCCCTGTCCTGCAGACCTCTTCCACAGGGAGCTGGTCACAGCATTCTATGGAGGTGGTGCTTCTCAGACGAGGCTGCACATAAGAATCATTTAATGTAATTTTTTTTTTTGCTGAAGAAGATTACCGCTGAGCTAACATCTGTGCCAATATTCCTCTGTTTTATATGTGGGTCGCCACTGCAGCGTGACTGACAAGTGGTATAGGTCCACACCCAAGATCTGAACCCGTGAACCTGAGCCACTGAAGCACAGCATACCAAACTTAACCACTGTGCCACGAGGGCAGCCCCTAATGAGCTTTTTCTGAAGAAAAAAGTTTCCTCTCAGGTTGGATCTTTCCAGGGGTGGGGCACAGGAGTCTGTGCTTTTGACAAGCTCCTCAGGAGCTGCACTTTTGCACAACAGGTTTGAAAACACTGGTCAAGTACGCTTATTTATTTTTTGTGCTTTTCTGTCATTGAAGGTTGGTGGTCTTTTTGAGTCATATTGGGTCCTTCTTTTTGCATTCTTGTTATCTAAGATCACACACCCTCTAAGACGAACATACATCATTATATTGGTGTTCTTTTGTGTACAGAGAATGTGCTCAATAAAACATTAAATGATTAAAAACAAATGAGAATAACTGAATGCACGTTAGATGATGCTTTAACTAATTACCCTCCAATTTCGATATCTTGGTTCTTTTCCCAAATAAGACAGGGTCCTTTGCATGACTTGACTACGCTGGAATCCCAGTCGCCCCTGCCTCTTGTGCCTTGGATGACATGCTTTGACCACAGGACAGCTTTTGCCATTTTTGCCTCTAGAGCCCCAGGCTCATGTTTGACCCTGTAAGACCTCTGTCAGGAAGAAGTCAGTTATCTAACTGTAGTTTGTTAAGCCCTTGACATCTGCCATCTTGAAGTATGGGGCAGCATGTACCCTCTATTCCAGAATGGAGTGACTCTCTGTTGTATGGAGAGAGCTTGTGAGGAGCCAAATAAATCTTGACGGTCAATGGAAATTCTGAGTATCTTCACATACTCGTGTTAAACTATACTTGTTTTCAGTGCTGGACAGGAAGTTCATCACTTATTATGAACTTCGAGCATATCCCTCATGCTGCAAATGCCTTTGTACTTGGGAAGGAAGTTGTGGTCAGCTGTTGAGAACTGTTTGGCTCTGCCTTCCTCCATGGGCCAGGCTTGGCTGTGTGTTCTCACTGAGGGGGTCTCTGACTTTTTTTCTCTTAGACTCATCCCACACAGACCGCCTTCCTCTCCAGTGTCGACCTGCACACTCACTGCTCCTACCAGATGATGTTGCCAGAGTCAATAGCCATTGTTTGCTCCCCCAAGTTCCAGGAGTAAGTACTTAGGACGTGGTTCAGGTATTATGAGAAGATAATGGGGGAAAAGCCTCTGAGGAAAAGACCTTGTTCTCTATAAAATATATAGATTGTAGCATTAATTGGCTGTTCTAAAAGGCTTCCTTATAAGCCCCATATCCTGATAAACCTACGATGCTTGTTTAAAAATATAGCCAAGCAATGATATAGGTGCTTTTCTAAGAAAAGGACATGAGAAATTTGAAGTATTTGACTTGAAGCAGCAGGAATTTCAAGAGATTGATGTCAGAATCTCAAAATCAAACAGATTATAATTTCTTTTTCATTCTAAATGCTGTTATTTGCTGTGAATTCTCCCAACAAAACTAGTGTGATGTCAGTGATGAGTCATTCTCTAACTCTGATTCATTTGCTGGAGAAGAGACCTATGAGCCAGCATACTTTTTTTTTTTTTTTGGGGGGGGGAGGAAGATTGCCCCTGAGCTAACATCTGTTGCCAATCTTCCCCTTTTTGGTGAGGAAGATTGTCCCTGAGCTAACATCTGTGCCCATCTTCCTCTACTTTATATGTGGGATGCCTACCACAGCAAGGCTTAATAAGTGGTGCATAGGTCTACGCCCGGGATCCAAACCACTGGGCCGCTGAAGCGGAGTGTGTGAACTTAAGCACTATGCCACCAGGCTGGCCCCATGAGCCAGCATGCTTTTGAAGCTGTCTCAAAATGGGCCCTGCCCTGCCGTGTGTGTGTGTGCTGTGCGTGCGTGTGTCTGTTAGGGATTTGGGGGACATTTTTTCTTGATTCTAGGCCTGCTTTTTTTAATTTCAGAACTGGATTCTTTAAACTCACTGACCATGGACTAGAAGAGATTTCTTCCTGTCGCCAGAAAGGATTCCATCCGCACAGCAAGGATCCGCCTCTGTTCTGTGTATGTATCTGTGTGGAAGAAATCAGGGCTATGCTTCAAGCAGGATGGGCAGTCAGAGCTAAGGAGGTGCACTGTCCTTTCTGGCCCACATAGAAAATCAGCCTTGCCATTTATATTTCCAAACCTTCCTAATAAGGACATATATGGGAAGCAGGGTGGGATAGGAGGGAAGCTGAGTCTTAGCGCTGCCGCTCAGTGACTGTGTACCTTTCATCAAGCTCCTTAACCTTCCTGGGCCTTAGGTTTCTCATCTATAAATGGGGATGATAGTAATTAGAATATCCACTTTACAGGGCTATTGAGAGGATTAGATGAAGTAATGTACAAAAAGTACCTAGTGCAGTAGCTGGCTTACTAAATGTTAGGTTTTTTTCTTCATCAACATAAGTTGCTAAGCCTGTACTTCAATAAGAGATTTGAATTCAAAGAGAAAAAGCCACTTAAGACAGGTAAAGTATACTTGATTATGGAACTTTGCTTAAATAATACGAATTTTTATTACCTTCTTAAGAAGTTTTTTCCCCTAAGTTGTATTCTGTGAATTAAAAGTTTCAGTTGCTGATAAGATCAGTGTGTTTCAGTTTGCCCCTCAAATCTAATGTGATAGTGTTGCTTTACTCCATGCTGACCATGGAGTATTAGTATTTCTTTAGATTCAGTGAAAAGTGACCAGTATTGAAAAGGGACCCAGAACCTTGTCACATAATAGGAACTGGGTTTGTTTAGAAGAGAAACCCCAGGGAGGATCTGAGAACTGACTTGAAGTGTTAGAAGAATTGTTGTATGAAAAGGTATCAAGTGTATTTCATAGGGCTCCCAGAGCTAAAACTAAGACCTCATGGGATGATAGTTTTCAGCTGAGTATGAGAAGGAACTTTCTGACAGATCTGTTCAGAAATAGGTTCGTCTGCCTTGGAATCTAATAAATGTCTAGGTACCAGGATGTTGAAACAGAGGCTGCACCAGCCCCCTAAAATGTCCAGGTTTTCAGTTATAAAGACCTCTTTTGCATGTTGGAAGTGAGCATTCCCCATGTGAGAGGAAGGGTACTTTATTATCTGATTGACATAACGACCCAAAAAACTGCAATGAATTTAGCAATTCTTTTAAATAAATGTATGTTTTATGAATGACTCTAGAATATACATACCTTGTGTGGATGTAGGTATATGGGCCTACGTTGATTCAGTCTACGGGTAGGGCTTGGTGGAAGTAATGATTCCAAGACCCCTTACTAAAGTTATCATTTATTTAAGTAGCAGACTGGCTTTGAGAGTGAGAACCATTAGCTAGAATGAGCGTTTTAAGTAAGGAGTTCTAAAAAATGACTTTTCCAGATTTTCCAGGACTTTCCCTTTCTTTTTTTTTTCCCTACTGCAGAGCTGCAACCACGTGACTGTTGTGGACAGAGCAGTGACCATCACAGACCTTCGATAAGAGTTTGACTCACGCACCTCCCAAGAACTATAAAACCATATCAGTGTACTGTGGCCCCTAAATTTAAACTTTCCCGAAAGCTCTGGAAGCTTTTTTAGACAGAAGGGAAAGTGAGTATCACCTAGGGGAGAACTGATTTTCTACTTCTGGTTTGAAAAGAAATCGTTGACTTTAACTTTTAGGCAAGTCTGGAAAACAGCACGATAATGCTAAAGCAACTTTTCAGACTGCCTGTAACTAAAACATTAAGTTGGAAGGATGGTATAATGAACACTCATTTACCCTTCATTCTAGATTCACCAATTGTTAACATTTTTCCTCTCAGCTATCCTCCTAATTTCTCTGCCAACTTGTTTCTTGTTTACTTTTGGACTAATTAAGGGCATCTATGCAGAAATTTGGAAGCCATTTAGAAAATCTTTGGGGTTTCCTGTGGTTTGTGGCAATATTAATGAAGCTTATCACGAGGGTGAGGGACAGCTGACCAGATGGTGAGGCTTGAACACCCTAAAGAATGATTTTATCAGGAATTATTGTTATTTAACAGATATTTCACGATATTTTTTCCTCTACAATAAAATAACAATTAACTTATTTTTTTGTGCTCTAGAGTGATGTGTTTGATCAAGCATTGTCTAAACAGGTTAGCCAAAAGGGCTAGTGGTTTTGGGAAAGGTGAGGGGAAATGGAATTTGAGATGTACTGACATCGAAGGGCTGTCCCAGTTCACTTTTAATGGTTCGGTGTTTTTTCTCTGCCTGTTGCCGCCTTCCAGGGCTGTGAAGTCATCTGTTCTTTTGGTGCTGTCTCAAGTGGGTCATCCCATTCACTTCCACCTTATGCCCTAAAAACTCTCAGCTTAGGATAATAGAGCCTTTATTTGGGGTACCAGGTAAAACTCCGAATAAATGATTACATTACCTAGCCACCCCAACCTCCCAATTTTATTGTATTGACTATTCTTTTCTGACTTAGGCAACATCTAAGAAGGTGTTTGAAGCTGAAATTGATTCTGTATTTTTCTTTCTATGAGTTGGGCCTGGTGTTCTAAGGTGGCCTAGAAAGAATGATATTGTTTGTGACCCCACAGGTGAGGGCAGGAGAGTATATACCTTGCACAGGAGAAGAATGATTTCTTTTTATATCAATATTCTGTGGGGAAAAGAGTTTGCAATCGTATGAAGATTTGCTTTATTTTATAATTTTGTGGCCTGAATATCTTCAGTCTTTATCACTTAGGTTAGTGGTCCATAAACTTTTCCGCTAAAACGGCCAAGTCTCTATATTCTTATTCTTCTCTTGGGTTCTTAACTCCAAAGATATTGGAAATTCTTTCTCCTGCAGTTTTGGTGTAGGTGGGAATGTGCAAGTGGGTCTGGGCAAAGGGAAGAGCAGCTTTCCTCTGTCGACTTAAAAAAGCAAATTTGCCTGTTATTTTATCCTGAAAATGACTTTATTCGGGAATAGCCAAATGAATTGCAATTCAGGATGTGCATGCTATGGCACAGCACAGGCAAATCCAGCAAAGAAGGGGAGCTGCCTTATAGAGAAAAAGGGGGAGTGGAGAGGGGCTGTTCTACAGGAAAGTCCACTGGGGGAAAGTAACATTGGAGGTGGCAACAGCTTCTCATTGGCTGAGCTGCAGCATTTCTCATTGGCTGCGCTGTTGCCAGGTGGGGAGAGAAATCTTCCTTCAGTGGTAAAGTAGTTTTATTCCTGTACAAGATCTAAGTGTCATCTGGTCTCTTTCTGTTTGGTGTAATTGACGATTTATAGTAGGGCATGAAAGCTCACCCTGCAGGCCTTCCCAACTCCAATTTAGTTAAAGTTTCTTTTATTAATTTCCGTACCTGTCACTGCCGTCCCTTCCCTACTGTGGCCACAGAGGCAGCCTAGACTGTTCCACCTTGCCCTGACAGTGTTGCCAGTCCTGTGCTTTCCAGGAAATTCATCTCTCTTTCCGTTCTAGGGCACTGCTTCATTTAGGGCTTTATTACCCCTTGCTTGGACTATTCCAATAGGCTTTTATGGGTCTGGGCTTTTTTTAAGTATTTCTTGACTCCAATCTGTTCTGCTCAGTACACTCGGGGAGAACTTCCCACATTACAGCCATCCTCATGTTTCCTCTCTTGCTCGAAAACCTTCAGTAGCTTTCCGTTGCCTAAAACCTAAATTTAGCATTTATTCAGAACTTTGTACATATGGCCACATGAAGTTCTTGCCCCTGGCTACACATTCAAATACCTGGGGAGCTTTTGAAAAAATACTGATACTTTTGCTCCACACCACACCAGTGAAATCCGAATCTCTGGGATGGGGTTCCAGACATTGTTTTTGTTTTGTTTTATTCTTGTCTTTGTCTCTAGAGCTGCTAGAATTCTCAAGCACAGCCAGGGTTGAAAACCACTACCCCAGTCACTTATTCCTAAGATTTGTGAGCTCCCTTAATTATCTCTGCACATCAGAGATGTTCAGCAAATGTTTGTTGAACCAAATTGAGCTAAATGTATCATATATTACAACCACATTTACTGTTTACACAATGGCCACGTTTTCTTGCCTCTGCACCTGTGCCCAAGAAATCTCAGTGGTTGGATGGGAGCAGGAAATCGGGCTGCAGATGCCTTCTAAGCACGTGCTACAGTCTAGCCACTGCAGAGGCACTTTGCACAGGATTGTTTCCATGTCTCCCTCTTCACCCTACCTCTGTGGGAGAAATGTGGTTCAAGCCAGTCCACGAGGAAACAAGAGACTGGGTAGAGCAGTGAGAGAGAAAAGGAGCCAGACTTGTAGGGAAAGGAGGAAAGGTATATTGTGAATAAAAGGGAATCAGACCATGAAACCCAAGAAAAGAAGCTTATATTGAGAGTAACAATGATCAGTAAAGAGACTGACTCCTGGGACTCTGAGCCTCAAAGGCGAGGAGCCTTTTTCACTCTCCTAAGCTGCACAGGGACCATGCTTACTGATCCGGGCTGAGTTGGGTGAGAGAGGCAGTGTCTGGTTGCATCCAGTTGGCTTCACAGGCACAGACCCTCCAAAGTGCCATGGGCTGGGTCCAGAGAGATTCTTGGGAAGCTGCTTTATTGGGAGTCAGGACAAGGCTGGGTTTTTTCAGATGATCACTTTCACATACTCCTAGTTAAATTCAACCTAAGAGGAAGAAGAAACCACTTAAGCCTTTATAATGCTGTCTTGGGTACCAGACACCTTAAAAGGGAGCATAGGAAGAAGGAGTCCCTAGTGAGGTTAGTGCCATGGTGGATATTTGTTTCTTGAGAGGCAAGGGTTTCAGCTTTCATTTTGCCACCTCAGAATTTAAAATCGTAATGCCTATCCCTTTTGACTGTTGGTCACTTCTGGGTTTCAGTTACCCCAGTGGAAGGAGAAAGTTTTCATGTGGGGATTGAGAGGGATGGAGACTGCCGAGAGCGAAGCTTTAATGACATGAAAGCCCAGTGAATCCTGCAACTGTGGTCTCTTTCAAATGGATTTTGAGTTCCTGCCCTCCACTTCAGTGCCCCAGGGTTTCACCGGTTCAGATCCTGGGTGCAGACCTGGCATCACTCATCAAGCCTTGCTGAGGCAGCATCCCACATAGCAGAACAAGAAGGACCTACAATTAGAGTATGCAACTATGTACTGGGAGGCTTTGGGGAAAAGAAAAAAAAATAGAGGAAGATTGGCAGCAGATGTTAGCTCAGGGCCAATCTTTAAAAAGAAAAAATTGGATTTTGAGAACAGTTTTAGGACCAGACCAGATGTTGTTCCCTAGAAAACAGTTTGTCAGTTGATATTGTACCTCCCGACCCCTCCCCCCGGTACCTCAGTGTTTTAACCCTACCTGGGGTTGGAGACCATTTGTCCAAAAATCTTTCAAGCCTGTGAGCCCAGTGGAACTTCTGAGTCAAGGCTCATTTTTTGTGAGGAGCTTTGCTTGGGGCACGAGAAGGCCCATTTGGATCAGGACCATTGACACATTACCCTGTTGAGTGGAAGTGCCAGGTTGAACATTTAAGACTTTCCTTGTAGGCCCAGCTGTTCATTCACCATCAAGTCACTTAACTTTCCAGAGTTCTTTAAAATCTATAAAATGAGGTCGGTCTGATATACCTACCTCAAATGAGGACAGAATGAAATCCATATGCAACTGTGAAAGTTGTAAAATGCTGTAAAGATTTAAGGTACTTGTTATTTCTGTCTTTGAAGTGTTAGCTTTGAGGTGCTGTTGCTTCCACCTACTAGACCTCTACCCCACCCAGCTTCCAGCTAGAGGGCTCTTCAAGCAGATCCACAATCTTTATCACTAGCTGGGCCTCAGCTCCAAAAATCTTATCTGCTCTGCCCTGATATTCTGAGCTGAAAAACTGAGAACCTCAAGAACCAGAAGAAGCATTCCAAATTTCTCCTCTTTTTCCCTAAGACCTGGAGCAGAGCCAGGACCTAGAGATCGCACCACATCCTTTATCCGTTGGTTCCACTACACTCTTGTTTGAACCTCCCACTCTTGTTATTCCAACTACTTCTTGCGATGAAAGAAGAGGAAGAGAACTTTGACCATCTTCACGGAAGTCTTCACTCCTCAATCCAGGGTTGAATTTTTTGTTCACTTCAGCCTACTTGGGATTAGAAGCGGGGCCTTACACATCTAGTTTGTGTGTAGTATCACTCATGGTGCCTGTTAGATCCAGAAACCAGCCCTGTCACACTGCCCCACCATGGGCTCTTGTGTCCTTTGCTGACAAACCTGCTTCCCGTGGAGCTTGGCTCAAGTTCTGCCTCCTCTAGTGTCTTCCCTCATTGGTAAAATCATTCTGAGGGCTTCCTTCTTTGAACTCTAGTGACATTTAGAGCCTATTTCCCACAATTAGATGTGTGTATTTTTTTGCTGTTTTGCAGTGTTTTCTTATTGCCCTCTTCATGAGTCATGTCTCTGAACTACCACGTAAACTCTGTAAGGGTAGGGACCGTATTTGCCTTCTAGCACTGTGTTGAGTGCCTTTCAGTCACCATAGTGCTTCCTTACTTCCTTTTGCTTAGCCCGTCCTTGAAATAGTGTCTGTGGTGTCGAATCGTGTTAGGAAGCCAGTTGTACCTGTGCCCTAAGTTAAGCTCTCCTCCACCTTGTGGGAAGCCATCTTAACACCTTGACTCAGACAGTGTATCTTGGGCCTGTGCTGCCACCCCAGTGTCACCTTCTGCCGAAGGGCTGAATACAAACAAGAGCTCTTAGCAGAGGGAGCCAGCAGTTGAGCTCTCTTTCCAGCTGCCGGGGCAGGTGTCATCCTCCCCAACAGGCTCATTTAATGGGTGGTCGAGGGAAGATGTCCCTGCAATGAAGGCTGAAAGGGGGAGATGAGAGAGGTAGGAGGAGAGTAGGAGATAGTGACACCACTATTTTGTTACAGAAACCAAGGAAGGCAACAGTTCAAAGAAGGGAAGGTGAGTGGTGCCAAATGGCCCAGGACAGGTTTTCTGGGCTAAGGACCAAGATGAGTGCATAGGATCTGGCAGTTAGCGGAGGTCTTCTCTGACAACTCCATCTAAAACCCTTCACCCCACTGCTCTACTGCATCTCTTTCTTTCCTGTCTGT